GGGGGGGGGGGGGGGGCAGTGTTTGGTCAGTGGGTATTGGGGTGACCGTGGCTGGGCCACCCCTATACCCAATGGAGGTTCTCCAAATGAAGGAGAGCAATGGCTGGGCAGGGCTGGAAGGGGGTCAATGATTGCAGAGGGCTTGGCTGCATGGAGGTGTTGAGACAGTCTGCACTGGTCGTGGGGTGCTGCTGGCTGTATTTTGGGGGCTCAGCTGCATTTGGGGACTATGGTGGGTTGATACCAACAGCGATGGGTTGGTTGTCTTGGAGCAGAAGGTCACGTCTGGAGTTGATGCAAGGATGCAGGCTATCCCGGCATGTATCAGGAGCGTGGGCGAACGGGGGCAGCCAAAAATGTGCAACATATGTGTGATGGGAACAATCTGCAAATGCAGCAGGGAGGCTTTTTTGTGTCCGTGCCGTCCAGGGGAATATGGGGTGCTTTGCATTAGGGGGGGCTGGTGTGGGAAAAGACGTAAGAAGGGATGTAGATTTGGAAAAAAAGGCTGTTCCTAGCCTGGCTTGTCTGCCTAGACAGGTTGTTATCTGGGAGACTTGAGCTGTAGTGGGGTGTTGAGCTACGTTTAAGTACTGATACATGGAGATTTATTAGTTAGTTGTTTTGAGGGTTGTATGCAATGGTCGGTGTGCGGGGAGAAAGGGGGAGCTAGAGACGGTGAAGCGGGTCTCAGGAGGGAGAGGCTGCTCCTTTGCAGGCACTGTGGAAGGGAGTTTTGTGGTTTTGAGATTTGTGGGTGTTATATATTCTTTACGATGCTGCCCGATTAGGGTGGTTTGGGCTGTAATCATTTACAGTCTGATTGTCGTAGCACGCCGTAGATGTTTGAGATTTCCTATGTGATGTTGAGATTTCTGGGTGAGGAGAGGAGATTGCAGGGGTTTGCTGTGTGAACCGTATAATAGTGACTAGGAGAGATGGGGAGGGGAGGAAGACTTGAGAGGGAGCGTAAACAGAAATCCCTTGTCATCCCCCGAGCTCCCCAGTAGCCCTGGCAGGCAGCTGCAGTGAAGATACCTCCTTGGCTCATTCCTGCCTCTCGACCTCTCGTTTTGCGGCTGGACTCTGCTTTTGTTAAACAGTTCTTATTTCTATTTTAGTTTGCGTTTGGCGGCTTATTTATATTACATGTGTGTCATTCTTTGCCTATATTATTTCATTTGAGATTATTTCCATTACGCGGGTCATCTTGTGTGGGTTTATTTATTTTGAGTAGGGTTTTTTTCATATACAGATAAAAACGAAAATGCTAAAAGTTCACGTTAAAAATAGACACTTTTTCTGCTTGAAGTCAGGGGCATACATGTGGGGTTTTTTTTTTGGTATCATGAAAAACTTATCTTTATATAATGTTGTGATTAAAGGGTGCTTGTTGCTGGGGGATTGTTTTCGGAGTTAAAATTGAGGAGGCTTTTGCTAGCTGGTGAGATCTAGATTTTTTTTTGCCTGGCTAGTGAAGAAGAGGGAGATCTGTGTCTTATTCCTCTCTGAATTTTTCATCTCTCTTCCCCCATTACAGTAACTGTTCGGCATTTCTGTCCTCATGAATGCATAATGTCTTCAGATATGCTGGTGATCATTTTTTTTAGGCCGATACATGGATTCCCTGTCATCACTAGAGGGCTTAAATGCCAAGACCTCTTGTTTTATAAAAACAAGAACAAAACAAGCCCAAGGTTCCCTTCCAAAATCAAATCATTCCTGATACCTGTGCCTATGGTGCTACCTGCCAGTTATCAAATAGGTTCCCAAAGTATTGAAATTTTAGCTTTCTGATCACAAGGTTCAAAGGAAAATTACACCAATACTAAAAAACGTTAAGGCCAACCTTCTGAAGCCTTTTATAGAGGGCTCTTTTGCTCTGGTGGACAGTCAAAAAACAACTTGATGTTTAAGCTATCTTTAGATGATAGCAGTTGTAGGACAGTTTAATAAATTTCAAAATTACAGTTTAATAAATTTCAAAATTGTGTGACTTGCACTGAAGTGCTAAATGTATACACTAACATTCCCCCACCCCACCCCCCACCCCACCCCCCCTTTTTTGGTAGGCAAAACTCTTTTGTTGCACGCAAGCTACCCTCCCAGGTTTTGGAATAAAATTGCACTTTCATTAATGGTTGGGCATAAGCATGAGGTTCTTGCCATGTGCAGTGTAAGCCTACTGGGGTGACAGCACTCATTGAAATCAGCCTTTATGAATGTTGTGTAGGGTTAAACTGCACTCTTGACTCTGTGTTCGAATTTTCCACTGAAGTGTGCAATTTCAAAGTAGATGAAGGACATGAATTGTGTTTTCTGTTGTTGAAATTTGACTTAAACTCTACAGAAAATATATGTGGTCTGTGGTTTTTTTGTAGGTGAAAGTTACACAAGAGCTAAAGAACATTCAGGTTGAGCAGATGACAAAACTTCAGGCCAAGCATCAGGCAGAATGTGAGCTACTTGAAGATATCAGGTAAGGTTACAGAAAATGCTACCAAAATTCCTTTAAGATCCAGTTTTTGGAAGAACATTTGAGCTACAAAACTTCAGGAACTGACGATGGAATTTCCTCTTTGGATTTCCTGCTTTTAGGCTGTTAAAGTTTTGACACAGCTGGAAATTATAACTGGAGCTAACACAATGCAAACCATTTTTTCTTCTCTTCAATGGGGGAAATGTTAAAAAAAAAAAAGTCACAAACAACATACAAAAAGCATTGGTCTTTTCAGCAATATTTCTCTATATAATAGACTAAGACTTCGATTTACCAGTTGTCAGGTGCTGCTAAAATTATTAACATATTTTAAAACCACTGATGATTTACGTCTCGCTAGAGATAGCTTTGAACAGCACTTTTAAATACATTGTATTTTTTACCAGAAACTTATAAATGTAAGTATCTTCTTATAATTTAAAACTCTGCACAGGTTAAGATCAGTAGGGAAAAGCGACATGACATCAATTGTGGGGGTTTTATTATTCATTTTACCTAATGTGATCACTTCTCTTGAAGTTAAAAGTTTGCTTTTAACAAAATACGGTGGGAGTGGATACCTGGCATTATAAGGAGGATTAATCATTCCATTTGGAGAGGATCAATTTCTAGGATGGTTCTTCTGTAAAATACTCAGCAGTAAGTCCACTGCTGTCCTGCTCTTTTTGGCAGTGTATAGTCCACCTGTTAATTGTTTAAATGAGATTTCTTGCTTTATATTTGTATATAAAATACAAATGTGTTAACTTTGACAGATGGCGTGCTGTTTGTCTCACTCTCACAGTGTCCTCTTTTCATAAATCAGAATGTCGAGGCTTGAGCTTTCTCTCCCCTGTTTTTCTTCTGTGGGTGTTGAAACACTTTTTTGTGGGGGAAAGATCACAGCGTTCATTTCCTTAGATTAAATTTAGTGGCTGTGCAGTGTTTAACTAGCAAATGCTGAGTAGTAAGTAACGGGCTGATCCAAGGAATTTTTTCTCACTAGATAGAAACTTATTTTTAGAACATCTAGGCCAGGTACTGCTGCTCTAGTCCAGGTTTTGTTAGCATTTCCTATTTTTCAGGAGCTTATAATCACTTCAGTCTGTATTCTGCTGTAAGATGTCATAAGTGTTATTAGCCTGTGGATACAAACCCAGGAAAACATGTGAAAATGCCGACTTAAAATATTTTTCTTTAATGTAATTTGATTTCTACAGTTAATTTAATTTGTAAATTTTAATGTTATGGATCAAGAAACTGGGTTAATATATTTAATTCAGTAATGGTCACTGAAAGTACATAGTCTCTGTTCAGCATTCTTGTTGCAAGCAATCTGCGTTTGCAGAATCACTGCGTGGATTTACAGATTAAACATTCTTTAAACATGGAATGATGTGATAGGATATGACAGCTCCATCGTGTCAATGATTTGTTCAAATATCAGATAACAGAGTAAGAGGGAACAAGAGAATTTTTGCTTAAAAACATTTGCTGAAAAAACCCCGATCTTGGTTTGTGATGCAGAGGCCCTTTAATCGCATCTAGCTGTGAAGGAGGACCTGGGCTTTGAAGACTTGGTTCTCTTGCTACTGCGTCGGTCAGCGCGTGACACTCATGTGAGAAGTTGGGTGTCAACCTCGTCATCCCATTAGTTGTGTATTTATGACTGTATTCAGGATATGCAGCCACCGTGATTCCGGAGTGTGTGTTCCAGAAAGCAATGCTCACTGGAACCACACACAGGATCTTTTTGTCTCTGGATTATTTTTATAGAAAGCACCCTGCTGTTATCCAAAAGTATTAAATTTTAACTGAATGCTGTTTGTTTATCAAGACCTGGGAGAGTTCGGGTCCTTCCGTAGCACTGTTGAAGCTTTCAGGCACTGCAAGAGTACAACTTTGTACTCTTGTATTATGCTGCTCTGAATTCTACAAACTTAACTGCTGCAGTGGCAACAAGACATTCTGAACGTGTGGCTTGCAAGCTAGTGATTAAGAATGCTTTTTTAAAAATGTTAAATTATTACAAATAATTACTGTATTTGTTAGCATATAAATGCAAGCATTCAAATCATGTATGCAATACTTACAAACCATAGTATTTGTATAGGATTTAAAACTCTAATTATATTTTTTCTATCACTTCAGTTTTGCATACAACTAAAAAGAAGTGATAAAAGGAAAAGATCAGAAAGTTCTCTTATGAGTTCTAGCAGAATACATCTGTTGTCTGGTATATTAGCAGATGATTTTTGGCAGCCTACCAGGTCATAAGCATACTTGCCATTCCAATAGCTTTGATATCTTTATGCAAAACCGAGCACTGCTTTAAATGTTTGTAGTTTGAAGGCCTAAACTATGTCATTTGGAGAGGATGAAGACTGAACTACTGTTTATTCCAAACGGGATTCTTCTTGGTCAGGGTTGAGGCATATAGGTGTAACTACCTTTTCTCCAGCCCCTCGCAGATACTTAATCTCCTTGAGGGCTGTACATAAACAAACCCACCATGTTTATTTAAATCTAAAATATGTCTTCTTTTTGAGTGATGATAGTGTTTTGTATGCAAGGATGTAGATTCAGGTCCTGCAGGCTGGGAAGAAAAGGCAGCATTTTTTGCTTGTGGAAAGCATACCCAGGACTTGACAAAGCTATGTCCTGGTAGTTGAGTGGAAAGCTTTCCTGGGAGTTGGATGACTTTTGACGCAATGTAAAATTTTAATATCTATTAAAAAAAAAAATCAAATATCCATTGCAGTCTTACAAACTGTGTTGTGTTTCTCTTCTCTCTGGAAGCTTAGTAGCAGTAAAGCTGAAGTATCTTTTTATGACTTGACAAGACTATAATAAAAAATATGTTTTGAAATGTGTTAGCAAATAGGTTTAAAAATACGTTTCTGTGTTTATAAGCTCTATTTGGCTCTTCCTGTTACATTTCTTCATACTCGGTGACTAGGGAATTTGTGGAACAAGTGATTCAGGATGCTTTTAGGATCATTGGCTCAGTTTTAGGCATGACATGTGTTTATCTTCTGTAGCTCACTAAAGCTACCATATCCTTTCACATGGTAGATCCGCGCTGGCATTACTATAAAAAGATTGTCTTTCTGCAACCGTGATGGAGAAAGAAGTTTTTCCCCCTGAAATGTAAACGTAGGCTTTGTTGCTATGAACCAGAAATCCTTCAAAGTTTCTCTATGGCTAGAAGTACTTCTTCACTCTGTTGTTACCTGGTTGCTTTTAGGCAGCAAGTTCTTTTTGTTTTGTTTTGGTTTTTTTTCCCTGGGGGCCAACTGGATTATGAATGGCTGAATTTATCAGAGGTGTTGGCAATTTTCATGTATTTTAGTTTGGTTTTAAAGATTGCCTTGTTTGATTGGTGGTAGTAAAGAAGTCACGTGTAGTGGTCTGAAATTGTCCTTAGTTTGCTGGGACATAAGCATACTTTCCTTTTGTGTGTGTGCACGTGTCTGCAAAATTGTGAAGAACTCTGATCCCCATCTTAATTCAACTTGGTATTTCTTGTATTTATATGCTATAGACTTTGTAAACTTGCTAGGTGATAATTGCTTTACCCTGAACGTTATCTCAAGGCCTGCTTTTCAAAAGAACTTTATATGCCTTTACAGTTTTTGCTAATGTATTCTAAAATGTCTTTTTTAAAACTTCTCGGCTTTCATGTTTTGCCAGCGAGAATGAGGTTGTGGTTACATGGCTGTTTTAATATGTTCTGAAGTCTGGACAGCCGCTGAAGAGCCGGCTCCACTTGCCAGCTATTTCTACTGTCTCCCTGTAGGAGCACAAGGTGGGTGAGCCACGTGGATTAGGGAATTTACCCACCTGAAATCAAACCTTCCCGACTTTTCTCCCACAAAGTGATAATTTTTGGATAAATCCTTCCCTGATCCAGCTTGCTGCATGGCTGCGCAAGTGCCGCTGCTAGCATGAGAGGTAGGAGGAACGAGTACCTGAGAAAGGAGAGGAAAAGCAAGACTCTGCAGCAGCGGCCCAGGTTCACGTGGGATTAAAGTCACTGTGTAACCGCAGCCTAATGCTCCCGTAGAAGGCACAGCTGCTGCTTTGTGAATTACAGAGCTGGAAAGGCCGCCTTATTTAAGTCTTAGCTAATTTTCTGCTGTCTGAATGTGTTGATCCTATGTTGCTTCATCATTTTAAGTCGGTTTACTGTACAGTGTGTGGAAAATAGATGTAAAGATTGCATGATTTCTGGCTGAAATGGAATAGCAATACAGTCCTTTCATTTGTTGGGTCCCGAATTTAGTTTTTCATCGCTTTCAACTAAATTCATAGTGTAAAAGGAATTGCCAAAATCATAGGCTCATAATTTTCGTGTGCTCCTGATACGGATGCAAATACATGTACAGATACCTCCTTCTGTTTCTTTCCCTCTTCTGTCCTTGTGGTTTCTCCCTCCTTCCTTTTTCTTATTTAAAATACCTTCTCATTGTTCAGTCTAGCATGTATCGCAGTGTAATGTATCCTATAAATTCATTCAACTTTTTTTTTTTAAAGCTACATTCTCCTCTCATTCTATTTCTGTCTCATTTGCCTTTCTCCTTCTGCTGCCTTGCCTTTGTGTGGTATTTTCTATCTTCCATCCTCTCATCCAACGCTCTGCCCTCTGAAGATTGTTCCCTCCTTCCAGTTTGTCAACTCGTATCTGGGAGGAAAACCAAAAAAATTTCATCTCTTCTGTAGTCCGTCCTTTATCTAGTTCTGAGCTTGTGAATTTTAATTAGTTCTTGGGCATCACCTCTATTTCCGAGATGCTTTTGCATTTAACATTCAGCTGTACCGCTTACCCCTGCTAGGTTTGTTAAGCCTCTGTGTTTGCTTGCGAAGTGGGGAGATCTTCTTGTGGGTCTTCCTTAACAATTTGAGCCCTTTCTGGTTGCAGATGCTGCTGCCCTGTCAGCTCAGCTGTCACTTGCTTCTGCTCCGCTGAGACGTAGCAGGTTAGATGTGGAGTATATGGG